AAATAGAAAAAGGCTAGCGTCACAGGCGTCGATGGGGGCGTTAACAGCAGGATCGAGCGCTGGGGCTAGACCACGCTAGACTGACTCCAGCTTGTGACGCGGAGCCCCTTTTCTACATGCGTGGGCTTCTAGAAATATCGGTGTAGAAGATTCGGCGCGTACACTCTACGAAATACCTGCGCGTTTATTTACCCGAAAAACACTTTAAGAGCCAATGTCTGCGATCTACGAAATAATAATATAAAAGATGAGGCCGCTTTCAGGCATCGAACCTCGGCCTTCTGCGGAGCCAAGCACGATAGCCATTCGACCACGGGCGCGCTGCCTAGATGGCTAGCCGCGCGCGCGGCAATATACAGGGTGCTTGCGTGCTCTTCTCGGGAGTAAAATAAAATGCATATAAATAAGCCAACAAATTGAGTGCAATAAACCTTTTCCACAAAAGTGTATTCACGTAGTGCGTTAATTATAGTCAATTCTTATGGTTTACAGTAGTATATTAATAAAGGAAAACCTTTTTTTTTTTTTTAATCCAGAGGAGGAAAGCATTAAAGACCGTCCGGTGGACGGTCTTTAATGCATAATTCTTAGAAAGCGCACAACATAATGCAAAAAAAATGAAGGTTTCTTTGTATTTAATATTGGAAGGGAGATCCGGCAGTTCAGAGCGTGTGTTATAGTCATTCTTAAGAGCAGCGACAACCAGAGGGTTTCTGCCGTCTTCCTTCGCGTGGATAATAGAAAAAAAGACTATTAAGGCCTGGATTTTTCCCCCTTCCCAAAAACTTACACTTATAAGAGTTGACTATATATGATAAATTCACCACTTAAAACATCTTCGCGAAACGTTTCAATGCACTCCGTCGTCTGGTTAATTTATAATAAACTCCTTTAACAACCGAGTTGCGCTGGAAACATTCTGTAGATTGTTTCGTGCGCTGAAAATCGGTTATCAGGGTTCCGTCCGATACGCCTCCTCGTCTTTTCTAAAGCGTTCACTGGTGTGCGGCAACAGACTGACGATAGCCGAAGACAAGCTGTTTGTGGAGTCTGAACCAAGTTATCTTCAGACCGGTCTCGATCGCGTCTCGATGTCAAGGAAGTTAGGGCGGTGTTCACGTGCCCCATCATCACCAATTCCTGTTGGTAAGTGACGTGGGTACTTGTTTAAAGCTCTTATCTCTTCTGAAAGGTAAATACGTCAAACAACTATTCGCGACTTCGGCCAAACAAACCGAACCCGTGGAGGGGAAAACACTAAACTGATCGGAACAGGTCCATTCGCAATCTTTGCTCCCCTCTTGCTGCTTTTGTGTTCGTATGTTGTTGGTGGTTGGCGCGACTGCCACTAAAGAGAGAAGTTGCTTTGGTTGTGTTCACACCAATGAAAATTACATCAAGAAATGTACCGCAGGGAAAACCATGACTCGTAGTGGCCTAACAAATTAGGCGTAACTTTTATTGCTTCTTATCTTGTGGCAAGCAGTTGTCCCGGTTATTCTGTCATTACTGTCGTATGTGCGTGCTGCCTAGGTCGGTCTGAACGCAACTTAGCAACCGCGTGAACCCAACACTGGGCGTTTATCAACGTTCATCCGCGCGGAAGAGGGACAGTTGGTAGCTGCTCCCATTGCTTCCCCGAAGAGAGCCAGCTCAGGAAGCTCGTTTACGCCCACACACTGCCGCAGGCTCTGAACGCAGGGGATAAAAACCAGCCCAAACCATTTCGAAGCCCGTGCTTGCCCTCTTAAACCGCAGCGTTGCGCGTTCAGCTGGTGTATATTGCAAGGCACGACCAAGTTTTCGGCCGCCATGTTTTGTCGATAGAGGCAACCCCTACAGGTCACTGGAGTCGCGAATAGTCACCGAAAGCCGAAGAAATTCAGGGCGCGGCTTATTATTAAGATCATACGCTTTGTTTGCTTCGTAATTCGTTCCTAGACGTTGCCATCGGCTGATACTGCACTCTCATTGGCTACGGATCGATAATGAGATGCAAGTTCGTCTGCTTCTTGCGCAGGGGTTGCGGTGACGTCAGGAGGCGGAGCTTTAATTGTGTCTGATTGAAGAATAGTGGGTAGACCTTAAAGCAAGCTGCCTTGAGGTCACCCACTGTGCTTCCAATCAGATCCAATCAAAGCTCGACGTTATGACGTTACCACAACCCTTGCGGGAAAAGCAGAAGAACTTGGGATCCACATAGCTCGGCATCTCGATCACGTGGTCAGGACGTACGCATGTCGCAAGTTGGATAACGCGACACGGTCACTGACGGGTCACAGGGTTAGGCTTGTAATTACATTCACGCTTCGTGATTTGTTATTCGGCGTTCTTAAAGGCTGCAGACATGATGAAACAAGCATCAAGTATATTCGAAGCATGTGTGATATATGCATGCATCTACTACGGTTCGATCTTGTCTGCAGGCAGTTTTTGTATGCCAAATGTGAAAAACCGTCATACAAGGAAGAAACACGCCTCCGACACTGTCCCCAAACTGTCTTTTGTATTATATGTTAGCAGTTTGACCGCGGCTTGTCAGGGACCGTTAAGGTGAGAACTAAGAATTGTGACATGAAACCAAACGCGTATGTGATCCGTGACAGGAAAGACAATTACTCGTAATTCGTTACATTTCTTTATAATTCTGTCAAAAATTACATATTTTATTTAATTATCCTACCCTGTGGGCCAGATATGAATTCAACCTTCTTCAAATCAATTGCAAGAATCAGCTTCGTGCTGCGAAGCAGTGCATTTGTTTAGTGAAAATATCGAACAAAATATATACCTCGATTAAATGTTGCAAATACCAGATCCACTTTTTGTTTTTGTTACAGAGGTACTGAATTGAATCTTAAAATATACCTATCCCCGATGGCTGTATCTTTCGTGCTAAATGTTCCATTCTGGCGAGCGCTTCAAAATCAGCCATCGAAGAGCATGGTGCAACTTGACCGCGGCGTCATCGGCCTCCCTAGGGCCAAGCGTGCTGTCGTTATGAGCGTTGACACTTGTTGGCGTCAACGCGTTACTGCCTCGCTTAGTCATGTAGTGCCCAAGGGCTGTAACATATCACCGGGAGATTGCGGAGTCGGCGGAGTTGTGCGCGCTTTCGTCGGTCTTGTCCGTCTCGTCCATCGAGGTTCATGCGAAAGTCCAGGCGGTGGCACTTAGCACGTCGATGGCGTCTAGGTTGGACGGCGGGACGACCCCTGAATTCTCCCATCGTCGCACAAAAACTGCAACACACAAAAGCGGATACCTGAAAAAACAGCCCTGCGACGTGAACGAGGGTCATTTCGAGAGGACGGCTTCCCTCTTCGGAAACGACGTTGAAAGCAGCACGCCAAGTTGGAAAAAGAAAGTTCATCAGCCCCTGATGTCAGTGACGTCAAATTAATGTCGAGAGTTGGGCTAGTTGGTATTCGTTGATCATAATGTAAAAACAGCGCAAACAAACACAGACGAAGGAGAAGAAACACGCAGACGGTACAAGCGCTGTTTGTACCGTCAGCGTGTTCCTGTCAGGTTTTGACGACAAAATCTGACTGGAAGCGATTGGCTGGCCGAGTGAAGCCAACGTGGCCAACTGTGCTTTGGCTTTCTTCGCCAAATCTTTGGTATTACGTTCTGGCCTAGGTAATTTGTACTAGTGAGCGTACTTCCCGTAGGGTGGCACTGCTGTTAGAGCCCGATGCCGTCACGAATACTTCATGGAAGATTCATGACCAACAACCAGGTGGATTTTGGTTATCGTTTGAATTCAGTTTAAGATACTTTTACATGAATTTTCTCTAAAAAAATCTTTATGTTTCTGAGGTTTTACTGCTAACTACGCCATGTTGAAGTAAAGAAATGAGCTCCAGAATTTCGTTTCCGTACCCCTCTAAGGCTCAATATGGAGTTAAGCTTTTTCCAACTTAAAATAAAAAATACGGTGATTCCTTTTTCCGTCTCATTTAAGCATTTGATGGGACAAAAAAAAAATGAGACAGATTTATTTTAGTTCCCTTTAGGCGTCGTATGTCAAACGTCCCATGCGGGTCACGCTAACATTTTTATTTTTACTTCTGCATAAAAACGGATACACTTTATATTAAACCATATAAGATTTTGATCTGTAACTCTAGATTGAGACTTTTTTAATATATTTCTTATAACACGCATAGACCACACAACCACCCTTTCACGTCGAATTATACTGTCGCAGCATGGAAAACTGAATTTGCGATATATTAAAATCGAGTTATATTCATCTGACCCTGGCGGTAGAAACATCTTATTACGTATTTACGTAACAAATTTAGTGCGACGAGTCAATCTTTTTTTTTTCGTAAAAAAAGGGAATTCTGTACACTCTAAAAGAAGCGTGTTTGGTTTAAAGAATACTTTTTGCTCTAAAGTTGCGACTCTGATACTATGCTTCCGATCAATGACACAGCAGAAATGCTCGAACAATCGACCACAATCGTAACTGTAATTACTCGCATTATATTGCTTATTTACTTACTCTTTGGCGTTTTCTACACGCCTGCCGCGGAACATCACGCTACATTCGCGGATTTTATTTTTATTATAATTTTCAAAGCAGATGCTGCAGCTGCAGTCAGTTGAAGCCACCTTGGCATCGTTCTTTATACTTTTTACTAAAACAAAATGTAGAACCCTAGCAGCCATTTCGTAAATAAACAGAGCCTAAATCAACGTTAGTTTTGTAGCCTGATATTTAATCGTTCGTGGCGAATTTTCGATGTCTTTTTTAAAGAGAAAACACGTCACATTTTTTGTTGTTATTCCAAATGTTCGAGAAACCCTCGGACGTCATCCTACCGCGTATTTCGCTCGTTTACCCGATTTCTAGTTCACTGCACACGCCCGGATACAGGTGGGGTTTTCGCTGCTCGTTACATTACAGGTACCGAAAGCCTCGACGCTGCCATTTAAATTAGAGTACACACGCTCGGAACAGCGAGCGGATCCCGACGGCAGGAAGAAAAATGAAGTCACGCCTTGTTTACTGCGCCAAGATCATCCGCGCCCACCCGGGCAAGACACAAGTTCTCACCACGGGCCTGATCATGATGTCAGGAGACATCATCAGTCAGAAGTTCATCGAGCGAAGCCAGTTCATCGACGCCCGACGGGCATCCAGGTTCTTCTTGATGGGAATCATCTACCGCGGTCCCGTCTGGTATGTCTGGTTCAGATTCCTGGACAGGAAGATCGGTGCCGGCAACGCTCCAAGGACAGTCCTCAAGAAACTCCTGACAGACCAGGTCCTCTTCAGGCCGATGTCCCTGTTCTGTTTCCTCGGAATCCTCTCGATCCTGCACAGGCGGCCGTGGGTCGACGTTAAAAAGACCATCTGGGCGGACTACGTGAGTGTTTTGAAAGCGGGCTACATGTTTTGGCCTGTCGTCCAGCTCATAAACTACGGATGGGTGCCGGGCCACTTCCGACTCATCTACTTCAATTCCCTGGGTGTTGTATGGAACACTTACCTGTCCTGGAAGGTGAACCGGTCCAAGCACCCGGTTGAAGTTCTAAAGACTGTTGAATACATGAAAACTGGCCTGAACTGAACACTGACGCTGCTCTATTATGGTTCAGTTCGAATTCGCGTATATTAAAACCAGATGGAGGGAGGTTTTGGGGGGGGGGGGGGGGGGGTAGTAAAGCTAGAAGAAAGGACGTGAGAGTGAATCGCTTCTAAGCCTCAGTGTGATAGTCGACTTCTTGCAAATCAGGTTAGCTTCTTTATGAGTTGAAGGTTTGCTACGGCAGAGAGCAGCTACGTGTGTAAGCGAAGTGTCGGTTGCTAAAGTAATTCCTACGTTTTTACACATGGTCTACTAGGAGGTGACCGGCAGTCTCCTGCTCTTTTCGTCAGGCGATAACCATTGCCATCAACCTCGGAAGTACTTCAACGTTATGTTAATTTTAGATGAAAACTGTTCAGAGTATCTGGTAGCTTCTATTTTTTATTGCAATCGTTGCAACAACGAGTCGTTTATGGAGCTGAATAAATTTTACATATAATTAACCTCGTTGTAATTTTCTCATTTTATAGAAACCATTACTTTAAAAGGGCCCGGTGTCCTGACGTGGAGAAGAACACCTACCCATAGTTTCAGGTTCGTTCCTCCATAAAGGGTATGTTTATTTTAGATAGAGGCTCAGAATAATTCCTCTAATACAGCTCAGTACTTGCCTTTCTCATACCAGTGAAGTGGTTGAACCTGACACCGAAAGTTTGTCTGGTTCTTGCCCAGGTCTCCGCTTGCACTCTTCATTTGATTCCGTGTGCCTGCAGCACAACCTCACCGGATGCAGCTGAGAGCGTCTAATGGATAAGTACAACCCTGCTTTTGCAACGTGCAATGCAAGCGCAAAGGTCGGTGTTGCTTAGAAGACCGTACTCACTATGTACAATGTGACCATGACCTTTGACATTCTCACTGTCCCTGCGCAGATCGCGTTTTTGAACCAAAGCAAAGTCGTTCTAGACATTGGCCGGGCCGAGTACCCGGAGAACGCTGCCGCAGCCTTCAGGCCCAATACCTGCTCCAAGCACGTCATCATACTATGACGTACTGCGATGAGTGGCGCAGCAGCTGCTAGAAAAGCGCTCCCTTATGAAAAAGATCCATCTTTCCTTAACCCTCTTTGGATCATGTCCGCTACCCTTGCTTTGGTACGCCAACCCTAAAGCCGGAGTCACACGGCTTATACATCGCATAGAAAAGACAGTCTGCATTCAGGTTCGAACGCAAGTCACCTCGAGATCCACGCTTCGAATGCCGCATGGCAACGAGTTTAATATGAAAACTTGCCACGCGGAATTCGAACCACTGATATTGCCGTGGATTGTCTTTTGAATGATGTAGGAGCAGTGTGACCCAGACTTCAAGCTGCTGTCCCGCTGCTCATAGATCATACAAAAGACGCGGTGGTGACTGCAGACATGATAACAAAATAATCTGCGGCCACGACTCCAGCAGGTTCGCTTCGTACATATGTAAGCCTCTAACATGTCTGCTGCAGACAGTTTTAAAGCGGAGCTGTTAAGGGCTAGTTTCCCCAGGATCGTGTCCCCAGCAAAGAAATGAAGACACCGAACTCTGGACACCTACCGCCATCTATGAGCGACGGCGGCAAGCCACGTATCTGGTTGCCGCCGTCGATCATAGATGGCGGCAGCCTTTCCACTCTGGCTTGCCGACTTGCGGCCGGCCGTTACTTTCCATTGCACAGCTCCGCTGGTCTTCCCTCTTCACCAGAGTGGAAAGGCTGAAAGTGTTTTTGTATGACAAATGAGACAGGACCGTCACACAAGAAAAGAAACATGCCTCACACATTGTTTGCAGGCTGTCTTTTGTGTATGATGTATCAGCAGTGTGACTGTGGCTTTCTGTTTAATTTGCGAAGGACAAAGAGACGACATGACAATTTCTCGATTCATTTTGTTTTTTGTGTGTTTTGGCCCTTTTTTAATGAAAACTACTACAAAACACAGTTGCGCAGGCAGGAAGGAAAATAGAGAAAGCTACTACCCCCCCCCCCCCCCCCCCCCGTTTTTTTTTCTGTGGTGGACGAAGTCTGTTGTAGATAGGAACGGCTGCCGCTTAGCATGTTTGTTGGGCAGTCGCACGAGGTCTTGAAGACGACCGCAGCGAACGTTACGAGCCACCCTAGCCAATCCATCGCTGTGAATATATCACGTAACTTCGTATCCCGCGCGTTGCTGCGCTCCTCCCGAAGGCCACGTGGCACTCATATGCGGCGTTGGATTGGCTTCGGTGGCTCGCAGCGTCCACTGCGGATCATCGTAAGGGTGCAAGCATCGCTACACGCATCGCCGCCATTCGTATCGCCGCCCGTGTGCATCACACAGCTGGCGTGGCGGTGTTCAGCTTGTATGAGAGACAGGTGCCCCACACAAAGGCCACAGAGCCGGAGAACACAACGCGGTAATGGAGCGGCACGTAACGAAAGTTGATGGCCATGGCCGCCGGCCAAATCACGTAGCTGGTCGCCAAGACGTACGCGTACTTGGTCTTCACGTCCTCCTTGATCTTGGACCACTGATGTCCTTGGAAGACACCCCTGAGTCCCATGAAGCCTAATAAGTAAACCGGAGTGCAAAGCAGCTGGTCCAGGATAACTTGCTTGACGGTCGCTGAAGTCCCGCTGCCAAGAACAAGCCATCGGTCCAGAGCGGCGTACCAGGCCACCAGGAACGGACCGCTGTAGCAGATCCCGAGGAAGACGGCGCCTGCCGCTCTGTGGACGTCGATGGTTTTTTTCCGCTCAATGAGTTTCTGTGCAGTCAGGTCGCCCGCGAGCATGATGGTACCCGCCGTCACGCTTTGCGTTTTTATCGGATGGCTCTGCAGAAGCCTCGCGTAGAAGGAGATGACACGTCTCATCCTGGTACGTCATGTGGCATAGAACTGTCGTAGGTGAGAGTGTTGCTCTTCGTTCAAAGGGCAGGACAGAGCGAATCTGTCAACAGATTCACAGCTGCATCCTGTCAGACTTTGCACGGATGGATCATTACAAAAATTGAGACAAGCCAAATACATTATGCATATGCAACCTGTGCGAGAACGCTATGTAGCACATTCCGCTGACGCTCATCATCGCGTTCGCTGTTAGGCGGCCCCAGTGGCCGTCTGGTGTCTCAGCTGTAGATGAGAATTTTTGCCAATGCAATACCACTGTTATTCTGGGGTCTTTAACGTACATCAACCGGAGAGCGCTCGCCGGTACGGTGCTCATCCAGGTAAAAACGGGCAGGGGCGGGTATTGAACCCAGGATCCCAGGATTCTGCAGTGCGAACGCTCGCTCGCTCTGCTCCGAGCTGCAGTGTGTTTTGTTTCACACCACTCGACTATAGATCTCCCACTCGGATAATCAGCAACACGGGTCTGCGAACGCAAACAGCAATGGCGAACGAAGAAAAAAAAAACGCTATCATGACATGTCGATGCGGAGTCATGTGCAGTCTACGGGCATAGAGCAGCTGAAATATATAACGCTGAAACATTAAGAAAAGAGTCATAACATGCAGACTGGACATTGACCTTCGTACCTTTCCTTGAATGATAGATTCAAAAACAAATACGCCAATTCGTTAGAGATGAGATCAAACCGTCGCTACGACGGTATGATCGAGCGGCGATCGAAGAAAAAGCACAAACACGACTGAACACTGCTGTCGTTCTGTGTTTGTGTATTTTCTTCGTCAGCATTCTTTGAGCTGTTTATGCCCACCGTAAACAACATTTACCAACTGGCCCAATTTGATGCCTTAGAACAACATGAGTTGACGTGGCCGAGCGCTGCGTTCGTCTGGGGATTGTGTTATGTTAGTGACCTGAATTCAACATGCTGCAGCACCCGTGTTTCTGCACCACTTTCAATAGAGGTAGATTACGTAAACAATTCATTCCATGGGCCCTATGTTGGGTGAAGGCCGAGCTCTGTGAAAACTAAGCTCGACAAAACACCGCTTATAAATAATGTTCGATCTCCTCGGTGGTCGTCGTCCAGCGTTTAATCTCGGAGGTTCCTGGTTGTACATTTTCGCGCATTTAACCCAATAACTCCGGTCCTCGATCTGCATCTATTTGGCTGAGTCTGCGAAGACGCCGATCGGTATCATGCCACAAGTGACATCGCTGTCACGGTTGCAGATCGCTGGACGACTCATCGGCTAAATGATTCGGGAAAAGTCCAGTGATTAGTGGTCCGAGGGCATTGTGCTGCACTATATATACTCACTGATAAGGTAAAAGGCGCAGGGCGTGGCGAATACTTTTAAAATGTTAAAACCGTTCCGCAGCCAATAAGATGGCTGTATTTTCCAGTAAGAGCGCAGAAGAACGAATCAGAAGGCAAAATGCGTGACAATCGAGCCCTGCACTACTTAATCTGCCAGTGACCATGGGCTCTTGTAGTCACTGAATGCCCAAGAAATGCAGGACGTGGCTTGCACACCCTGCTTGCTTCGTGGTTCGTTCCTGGGCGTTGCCATCGGCTAATACCGCGCTCTGATTGGCTGTGGAGGGATAATGAGATGCACGCGGCTCGCCACGCCCCGCGCTTCTTCAGCTGTCGGGATGCTAGAGCTCGGCACCTCAATCTCGTGGTCAGGACGGCACGCACATCGCAAGTGGACGAACGCGACGTGGTCACTGCCGGGTACCAGAGCATGGCTTGGAATTACATTCGCGCTTCGTGATTTGTTATTCGGCGTTCTTAGCGACGACAGACATGATGGGACATGCCTCACCTATTTTCGAAGCATACTTTATGCATACTAGATGTACGCTTCGATCTTGTTTGTAGACAATCTTTGTATGTCAGATGTAAAAAAAAAAACCGTCATGCAAGTGAGAAAACACGCCTCCGACACTGTGTCCAGGCTGTCTTTCGTAATATATGTCAGCAGTTTGACCGCGGCCTCAAATTATCGTTGACTTTAACTGTTAAGGTGAGAAGAAGAGTAAATTACTTGTAATTCGTAACATTTATATATAAATGGGCCATAAATCACACATTTCATTTAATTCATCTACCCCGTGGGACAGGCATGAGTTAAACCTTCTTCAAATTAATTGCAAGAATCAGATTCGTGTGCTGCAAGGTAGTGCGCTTGATTCGTAAAAATATCCAAGAAAATGTATATGCCTCAAATAAAGCTTACAAATAAAGTTGTGATTTTTTTTCTTAAGGCTCAATGTGGAGGTAATCCTTATTCAACTTAAAGTGAAAAATCTGTTCTTGTCTTTTGTTGTTTGGGCATTTTGTTCGACAAAAAAAAAAGAAGAAAAGAAAAGGCATCAATTTCTATTTTGCTTGGGAGAAGAGCGTGTTGGTTTAAGTCATGGATGAAGAAAGAATAAAACAATTAAAACGGGGACAACACAACCACATCTTTCAACTAGCAACAGACGAGTCTGTTGCTAGTTGAAAGATGTGGTTGTGTTGTCCCTGTTTTAATTGTTTTATTCTTTCTTCATTCATGAATTTCTATTTCCTTCCCGGTGTTCAAAGCCAAATGAGTGATGCAATAACATTTTTTTTTCACGTTGCTTTGAAAAAGGTTATACTGGATATTCAACCATATAACAAAAGAAAAATTTATTTGTAACTTTGGAACGAGACACTTTTTTTTTCATTTTTTATAACACGCATGGATAACGTAACCTCACTGTAATGGTAAAATATAGTTTAGCATGGGGATAAGCTGAGCTAGTTTGTTACACATTGGGAAGAACTAGCTGAACATACAATTACAGGAACATTCATACAGATGAAAGGAGATAGAGAAAGGAGCAAACAACCGCTGGACTAGCTTAACTGCCAAGTATTTGGATGATAAACTTCTTCCTCAACTAGTTTCCTTTTCCTATTCTTCTGCTTCACTTGTTTCTGCATCTCAGATTGTATACCTCCTTCTCGTATCTCGATTTATTAAAAGGGCTGTAGCCTTTCAATCATATTTGCTCTCTGTTGTATAGCAAAACTGATGGGGGACCAACGCAATTTTCTTTCTTCTCTTCTATGGCCCGGGCCTTCAACATCTCCCGTGCGAGCTTGTTTCTGTGTCGTCCTAGATGGTCACTTGATTAAACTCGGCCTTGCACGTCAGTTCACGACAATGTGCGGTTAGGTGCCCTGTTAATATATAATTATTAAAAATTAATTAAAAATTAAAAAAGAAAAGATTGCGAGGCGACAAGACGTCCAAGTGGTGTGCTCGGCGCCGAATTAAGCATATTTAATGTGCCGCAAGGTGAACCAGGCACGACTCAACATGAAAAATGTTTGCGGTACAAGTCATAAGACAAAATACCGTATTTACTCGAGCAATAGCCGCACTATTTATGAACAAGGCCCAATTGCGTCTACTTTCCCAAAGAACACATATGCAGCCAATCATTGCGTTGCGCATAAATAACATCGCGAATAACCAAATGGAGAACACGATTCTCCGTAGAAGTGCAATCTTCACAGATGGTATCTTCGCACGAAGACGTTATTTCTGTCCTGTGAACAGCTGAAATCATGCTGTCGATCGGGGTGATTATAGCAATCTGCGTGCTCCGCGGAAAAGTGAACCGTCAGGATTTCTTCATAAACAGTGCTGCTATTACTCGAGTAAATACGATAAGCCCGGTGCAAAATGGAAGTTATCAACAACATTCCCTTAACATGGGGACGTTGCTACATCGGACACGAAAGAACGAAAGAACACGAGACCATCAACGAAAGAACACAAAAACATGCAAACAATCTTAAAAAGCTTGACAACAACAAGACGATCGCCCAAGTCTTCACCTTACTTCAATACCCGAAATCGACGTTAGATTTGATATTTCATTCATCTGTGGTAGATTGCTAATATACTTTTTACGTCGCTTTGTTTTTATTCCTATATTTTTAGAGACCCCAACGTCATCGTACCGCGTATTTTACTCGTTTACTCGATTCCTAGTTTACAGTACACGTCCGGATGCAGCTGTGCTCTCGCAACTCGTCATAGTGCAGGAACCAAAAGCCTCGACACCGCCACTTAAATTGCAGAAACACGCGCGCTGGGTACAGTGAGCGGATCCCGCCAGCCAGAGAAATGAAGTCACGCTTTCTCTTAATAATATTATTAATAGATTTAATTCTTCATCACATTCATGGTGGAGAGAGACCGAGGAAAAAAAGCTACATAAATGTAGCTTGTCGAGTCCTAGGCCCCCTTCCAACAATCGGCAGCAACGGCAGCTCACAAAGAACAACAAAAAAAAACATATTCAAGCTCAGTTAACCAAAATAGCGAAATGTATCAGGCCGACAATTCAAAATATCACAATGCAGCGTGGTGCAAATTCAACTCTAATAATTTAATAAAAAAATGATGATTATCACAAGAAAGCACATATATTCAGAGATATAGAGCGCATAATTAGGCCCTGTTATATAAATTGTTATTACTTACAAGCTTATGGAGAACAGACATACTAACTATACATGCGTAAGGACACTAGAATAATGATCGATCAAAGTCATCAAAATACACTTTTAAGAAAAGATCGGACTTTCTTTCGGTGTTGATGTTAGGAGTTCCATATTTTGAGTGTTCAGATAATTAAGTAGGTCGGTAAGTACATTCGATAACATCTGCTCACCGTGAGTTGTTCTGCAATTGGGCACTTTCCAGTTTTCTATGTTGAGTTGACTATGTTAGCAATCTCCTCGTCAGAGACGCTAGTTTGACAATATGACATATATTGTTCATGACTTCTGACTTGTAACTTAGGCATACACGGTATGTATAGAAACTATACACATGCAATGCATTCAAACTTTTGCAAAGGGATCTGCTAGGGTTATCATATGGAATATTATTTATACTTTGTACTATTT